CCTATCAATCTTGGTTTTGTGAGACAGTCTATCTTAACTGCATTTCTGTTGCTGTAACAAAGTATATTGATGATAAGCAACCTAGGGGAAGGAAAAGGGTTTACTTAACTTGTGATTCCAAGTTACAGACCATCATTTCAGAGAAGTCAAGGCAAAAATGCAAGCAGCTTATCACATCACATCCCCAGTCAAGAGTGAATAGAGAGTAATCACACACTTGTTTGTTTGCTTTCATCTTGGTTTCTCCAGTCTCATACAGTTTAGGACTCTTTACCTAAAGAATAGAGCTGCCCACAATGGACTTGCTACTTGATGTATCTTCCTTCATTAATAACAATCAAAACAAATTCTCCATGGACCAACTTGTCCTACATAATTCCTCAAGTGAAATTCTCACTTCTACATGGAATTCACCAAGTAGACTAGGTTGGTTTACCAGCAAGCCTCAAGAATTCACCTGTCTCCACCTCCCCAGTGCTATGATTGCAAACTCACACCAACATAGCAAGCTTTTTGATGTGATGTCTGGGGATAGGACTCAGGTCTTTGTGCATTTTACCAACTTAGTCTTTCCCTAGCTCAAACAGATTTCTTAGCCTTGTAAGGCTTAGCATTCTCATAAATGAAATGGAATGGTAACAGCTGCTTGAAAGTGTCGTGAGAATCAAGCTGCAGAGAGAGCATATACTTGGCCCCAGCACACAGCACAGGTGCTATCTGCTGTCCGTAAGCTCAAGGGGAGTAACATTAATAATACTGTCCAACTGTCCAGCTGTCATACCCCAGTTTCCCAGTTGTAATCCCCTCCTCCCTTAGGACCATTATATGCTCTCAAGGGTCTTACTGCTACCTTCTCTGATTCCTACTGATTCCTTCTCTGCTACCAACCCCTTCCATCCCTACTCTTTCTTGCTCTGGACTTGGGCTACTAAGGTTCGAATGTGAATCTGTTTTCATTCGGAGTTGTAGAAAATAGTCCCATCCTCTAAAGACCAACTTATGATGCTCCAATCCCAGTGCATAACACATCTGTTAACCCCAAAGCAAGTGTACCCTAGTCCTTGGGAGGGAGGTACATAGTCCCATAGAGGCCACTGGAGGAAAAGGATTCAAAAGTGTCGAAAGATTTGCCAACAAGAGGCAGGAAGTAGCCACTGCCCAGGGCTCTGCCCTGAGATACCTTGGAGGCAGGCCATGGGATTGGTTGCCTTGACAACTGGCAGGCTTGGTGTTGGAAGCCTTTTACTCATATCTGCAGCACCCCTTAGGGCAGGCACTTGCCCTAAGACTCCTCTACGGCCACTGTTTGGAAATAACAGTGAATGAGGAGGGAATGCAGAGTTTGTTCCCGCCACACAGCGGGGTAAGGGCAAGAACACACCACCACCTCATCGGCTGTCACTGGGATCCCACTGCCCTCACTGTCTTCAAATGATCATTGCCTCAACTCTTCATGGCTCTCCTTCCCAGCCACTACTATACTCGTCTTTTCAGTGACCTTCCCCAACCTCCTCTCCCTGTCTTCTTCCTCCCCAGTAACAAAGGATTCCCCAATCTCTTCTAGACTTCATGTCCAATCAAACACAGACATCCAATGCCCAGGCTGATGACTTTTGATACCTATGTGTGCCTCTGGTTTGCCTTTTTCTGTTTTTGCCCCTGCTTATTTTTGGGTTCAGTGGCAAAAAAATATGAAGAATTTAGACATTAGAGACAGGAGAGGGCCCATATCGAAGACCTCACTTTTGGTATGTCAGTCAATGCCAATGAAGAACCAGCTAATCAGGAATGAGGTGTCTTCCCTCCTGAGCCACCATCTCATTCCAACCCAGAAATGGAGAAAGGAAGCCATTGCCCAGACCTCAAGGCTCACACATGGTACCCTTTAATAATGTGATGTCTCCTTTAGTGGTCCACTGGCCTGCTATATCCCTCAAGAGTTTTATTTCCTCCGAGGATCTTGAGAGAGAAAGTTTCTCTTGGCAGGTAAGGTAGAGGAAGCCTCTTCTCTTTGTCTTTAAGTCTTTCTTTCTTTCCAGGAGACATTAGAGGTAGTGAAAGGAGTCTCCCTGCAGGTATCACCTGCCTGGCCAACTCCTTGCCATAGAGGCCAAATAAGGAAAGGCTTCCATGGGCTATCCAAGAAGCCATCAGAATGGTTCTTCCCCAAGGGCACTAGGAAGCTCTCCAGCAATCTACTTTGCCCTGTACTGGCTCTTGTCTGGACTCTCACTTCCAGGAGCTTGGCCTGACTTCTGCTTTACTAGTGTCTAGTAGAAACTCCATGCTCAATGTTCGTTGAATGAAGAAATCCATGAAACCCAGGGACCAACTGAATGGACTCTCATTTTGATTTTACTTTGTTCTGAGCACAGGCAGATGATATGGGTTGGATTACTTTTTTTTAAAAAATCTTCCAGGGACCAGCCAGAGGCAATGCAAGGGAGAGGTAGGACCAGGGATGCATACCACGTGGGAAGTCTCTTTGGAGGTAGGTGCTGTAGCCAATGTACCTGAGCATTGGTGATGGGTTGCTGTTCACTCAGTTTTTCCAAAATATAGATGTAGATTTTTCCCTCTCTAAAACTGGCCAGTCAACACTTAGCACTGTGGAAGGCAGTCCTTCTAGCCCTCCAACAGTGACAAAATTGCCATAGTATAGCAGTGTAGCATGACAGTTACCCTCAACTTCTCACTCCAGCTCTGACCCTAAGGACATTGGGCAGCTCGTGCAGTCTGTCTGTGCTTCAGTTCCCTCCTCTCCGCAGTGGAGACTCAGTAACCAAGCTCCCCAGCAAGGGGTTGTAGGAGTCCAGATCTCATGTAACCAGCACCAAATAATTACCTACAAATGAGTGTGATGTACTACAAATGCTTGCCAGTGTAGACTGACAGACAGTGGAGCTGCTAGAAGGATGCTTTCTGAACATGTTACACAGAGAGCACCAATCGGTGACTGCCTCGTTCCCCTTAAGCTCTTCTTGCACTCACTGGTCCACTAATAACTGTCTGTCTTAGCCATGGGTCTGGGATGAGTGAGAGGCAGCCAAGTTCAAGTGCAAAAGAAGCCTTCCATGCTAAATGCACCTGCACAGAGCCCTCTCTGAGGAGACAAGTCCAATGCTCACTGTCTCTTTTGGTGACTTGGATTCTCTGTCAAGAGAAATGACCTCACCTTCCATGGAAGGTGTGTGAGGTCCACTAACTGTACAGCCCAGTGGAGAGGGATGATCCTTTTCTTGTGATGATGTCCTGGAGAAACTGTAGGATGCTGCCCATCCAGGATCCCCTAGACACCCCTCTCTGAAAGGACAGCAAGAACAATGTTTCTCTCAGGAGAAGGTGAGGAGCTCTAGGTCAGCTCTGAGCAGCACTATACAGAGTCAAACTAAACATAGCTGGGGGCTGCACTGTAGCCAGGATGTGGCACCCAGACGTGGGTCAAAGTTCAATTGGACTAGTTATCCATCTCTGGAACCTCAGGCTTCATTCTTGCCGCTTGATTTACTTGACTAGGAGTGGAGTCCCTCTCTCCTTGCCCCTCTTCTTTCTCTTCTCTATAGGACATATCACCATGAAACAGCTGTGGCTTTTCCTAGCTTGCCATGTGGAAGGCAGGCTCTGTGGAGGCTGGCCTCCAGGTTTATTTTTACCATGTTCTCTCCCTCCATTGCTGTAGATTACATGATAAGACCATGAGGGCAGAGGAGACGGTGCAGTCAATAAGGGGTGTGCCATAAATGTGAGCATCCATGTTTGATCTCCAGCTCCGATATAGTGAAGTCAGGCAGAGCATTGCACATGTAACAGAGGCATGAGCATTCCGGGGGCTTACTAGCTGGTTACCTAAGCCTCCTAGCTCATAGGCAAGGTTGTGTCCCTGTCTCGAAACAGTGAGAGAACAACCCAAGGAATGATGCCTAAGGTTGACCTATGACCTCCCTGTCTACCCATATGTACACTCTGCTATATGCACATGTGCATGCATGTGCGTGTGCGAGTGCTCGCGCGCGCACGTGCACACACACACACACACACACACACACACACACACACACACACACACATTTCTCCCCCTTCGTAGATCCTCAGTTCTTAGATGAATGTAGCCCAGAATGTAGTTAGTCTTCTTCTCAGCGCAGAGACAACTGTACTTGATTATACAGTATTCAGTAATTGCTCAGTGACTGTTGATTGAGGGAGCTGAATTAAAGTCTTCTGTCTCAGACAGAGGTTCTCAACCTTCCTAATGCCGTGACCCCTTAAAACAGTTCCTCATGTTGTGGTGACTCCTAATCTTAAAATGATTTTTGTTGTTACCTTATAACTAATTTTGCTACTGTTTTCAATCATAATGCAAATACTTGTGTTTTCCGATGGTCTTAGGCGACCACCGTGAAAGGGTCATTTAACCCAACGGTTCAGAATTGCCCTTCTAAGAAGCCATAACTTCTAAGCTCAGGTACAAAATCATTCCAGAAAATCCCAAAGAGAAACTCACTATGGTTTGCACCTTTAAGGAACATTTAAACATGAGGAGGAGGAAGGGCAGAAGGAAGGCGTGGGGAGCTCACAAAAGTTAATGAGATTTCCTAACTGTGGTGTGTGCCCAAGTTTTAACAATTATGAATAATAAAGACTCTGGCTGAATCTTAAAGAAATATCCTTGTGTAAGAAAATGAAAAGCCAAGACAGACCTCTCTGCTGGGTGTAATGACTTGTTCACCCTGGAAGACAGATACATTTAAAAAAAAAACTAATTTAAGGAAAAATAGTTGAGCTAATTGGTTTAAAATGACAGATTAGTGGGGCTGCTAGGTGGCTCTGGTGCCCTTAAGGGATAATTTGGATTATTAATCCCCCAAAATCTCTAATGGAAGGACACTATCCCCCTATTTAGCAGACAGGAAACAGAGGGTCCCTTCCCAGTCCTTGCTCTGTTCCCAGCACCATGAGGACCCATGCCTGTATAAACAAGAGCCTGGCCACTGACTGCTCACCCACTGGGCCTGAGGTCTGGCAGGGGCCGGTCGAGGGGTAGCCGGTCACTGAGGTAGGCGTTGTAACCGTAGTACTGGAACTGCTTCAGGGCCACACGCCGGCCTTCGGGGCTGAGCTCCTGACCCCAGTGTGCAAACAGGGAGGAGTCCGTGAAGGGCTCAGCCTCTGCCTCCTCAGGCTTGGCAGGAGCCTCTGGAGAGAGAAGGGACAAGGAGTCAGTGGGTCAGAGGGTAACCCTGTATATGCCATTACCAATCCCTTTCCCCTTCTTCATACAAGCCTTCAGTGATGACTGAGGAGAGTGAAATTTTCATGGTTCTCAAAGATTTAGTCACCCATGAATCTACGGAGTCATCTGCCCAATAAGCATCACATTCAGGGATATAGAAATGCACCCAGCAGAGGCTGCCAAGAAGTTAATGGTTGTGAGCCTGACATGTCATGGCTCCAGTACAGAACTGCAGCCTTTTCCAGTCTATCTCTGCCAAGAATACTGGCCCAGTCTCCTAAGTGGGCCTTTCCTTCTTCCCCAGCCTGCATTCCTACACCTCACCCCCTACAGCCCTGTTCCAGTCTATATCCAGACCCTAGCTCTCTCTGCCCACCCAGACAGGGACATTCAGACACAGGTAACAGCCATCTGCCATACATCTTGGAACTTCTTCCCAAACTCCTGGTGGACTCAGGAAGGCAGCCTGCTCCAGGTTCACAGGCTGCTCAGGGTTTTCCAGCATCCCCACAAGCTTTCTTAACCTGGAATACTAGCTTTCTGTTTGGATATGTATGATCAGAGATTCAGATTCTGTTCCACCCTACACCAGCTGTGAGGCCACAGTAAGCACCAGCCTCCCTAAGCCAAGGTCTCCCTTCTTCCAAACAGATCACAGAGATCTGAGACCCATGAAGACTGAATTCAATAATGCATGAGACACTTAGGTGAGTGTATGTCTCCAAGTGACCTCACGATAGGAAGGAGGAGGAATGCAGTAAGAATCCCTCTTTGATACCGAGTCACAGACCTAACACAGCTGATAGACCAAGACTTAAACTGGCGTCCTGGGGCAGGAAAACCACTTAATGTAGTGACAGTAGGCAGAGATGTCCAGCCCACTGGACATGCTGCTCTCTAGGTCATGAACATACGAGGTGAAGCCTGGGGCTAGACAGAGACCTAAAGATACAGATGTAAGGACCAGGAGAGGCACCTAAAGGGCACCTGGTGGGTCCCCCAGCTGTCTGTATGTAGCTAGTAGGTATACAACATGCTTAAAGTCACAGGCTGGAGACTGGACCCGTCCTCAGGTCTTTCAGGTCAGGGCACTTAGTGCTCCAGATGGACATCTTCTCTTGAGTCACTAAGTGTACTAAGAGTTGATCTGGGAGGAGGGACTTTGCCCAGCCACAGAGGGTGGCATCAAGCTCCCAGGCTCCCTGAACACACCAGAGGGCTTTGGAGGCAGGAAACTGGCATGGCTGGAAGTGTTCCCCATTTGTCACAGAGTGAAAAGAACTTAGGGAGCCTGTGCTTCAGAAAGCAGACCTGCAAAAGCTGATGCTGGGGCAAGAGGGAGAATAAGAGAGATGCAGACAGCCAGAGGGATTCTTAGTTGCCCACCAGACACCCAGGGCGTCGGCATGAGGAACCTCTCCTTGGGAAGTGCTGACTACTTATTAGGTCAGAGGCATAACTCATTAACATTCGCCAAAAATGCTTGCTACTCTCATGAGCCAGGGCCCATTCCTAAGCATGCTCCCACATGACCCTTAATCTCAAATGACCTTCTTCAGAGAGAGACACAGAGAGCACCAGAAATGTATCTGGGGTCACAGTGAAGACTGTGGAAGAGCTGGGATGATTCCATTCTGGCAGGCCTGCTCCTACCCTCACAGTTGATGCCCCCACTGCATTTTAAGGCCTGTGCGTAGCATCAGGCTGGGACCCATGGGGCAAGGTGAGTCATCTGATTACCACTATTTGTTTGTTTGCTTGTTTTTTAAGACGCATAAAAGAAAACACAGATCCATCAAGAAGGTTAGGATCTACTGAGGGGCATGGTATGACAGATGTATACATCTCTAAGGGGTTTTAGGATGTGGAAGCCAGCCCAATTACAGAACACTCCATTCCAGAATGGGGTGTACCTGAGCATTCTCCCCACAAGGCCTGCTTGTGTGATCTTGAAGGTCTTCGTTATCTCTGTTAAGATGGATGACTTATTCACTCGAATGGGGGGCAGTAAAATCTAAATCAGTGAGCCAACTGAATCATATAATATTTAAAAGAAATGGAGTTTTATTGCTCTCAAATGCCTAAATGGATATTACCAAGTAAAATGAGATCAGTTAATGAAAAAATTATGATTCACAATTAGGCCTGTGTTGCATAATAATGTATTACAAACAGATTGAAGACAGAGGTTACAGCACTGTGTCCCTACCTTGTTACTCGGTATGGGTACAAATGATAGGCACTGTGAAGCCAGCATGCTCTTAAAGACGAAGTAGGGGCCTGGACAAGGGGGTAGTGATTCAGTTGATGAAGTGCTTGTTCTGCAAGCACAAGGGCTTGAATTTGATCCTGGTTCCTAAAAAGAGCCAGGGGTGGTGGTGTGCACTTGCAATCCCAGTGCTGGGGAGGCAGAGGCAGGCACAATCTTGGTGCTCACTGCCCTGGCAATCAAGCCTACCAAATGATTCCAGTCTACTGAGGGACTGTTTCAAAAATACAAAGTAGATGGCACCTAAGGAGTGACACCCAACATTGTCTTCTGGTCACCACACATATGCAGACACACCTGCACATACACACCATGTACACACACACACACACACACACACACGAGGAACAACATAGTGTGCTACATGATGACATTTTATACACATATATAAGTCTACTTTGTTCTTATCCATTCTCCCTCCCCCACTGCCCTCCTCCATCATCCCCCCCCACCTCTTATTAGATTCCTGCCTCCCACAACGATCCACTGGTCTTTTGAGACACATGAATCCCAGTACCCTCTTTCCTTTCAAGATTACTTCCTCCTTTCCCATAGCCCCTTTCATGTCCTGTACATGCACCTCACATATGAATTTAGGTCTAGAGACATGTCATGTTTGTCTTTCTGAGTTTGGCTTATTTCACTTAACTCCTAGTTCCATCTACTTTCTTGAATGTGTCATGATTTTTTTTTCTTTATGGCTGCATAAAATTCCACTGTGTGTATGTGTGTGTGATTATCTTTATGTCCATATGTGTTTAATCTGTCAAGTGAGTGAATAGGGCAGTTGCAAAAAATCCTTGGGGGAGTAAGAAGGCCTATGCTTACCTGCTAGGGACTCCCAGAATCTTTCTGGGGCAAAAGAGAAGTAGAATCTTCTGGCAGGTAGGAGCGTGTAGCAGGGAAGACCATTAAGGGGCTTGTGTGTGGTTAGTTTCCTATCTAGTTCACCAAACCAGTAACTATATACCCTTATGCAGGTAACAGACACTTCTCAGGTGGCTCCATGGAAGGAAGTCACTGCTAGACAATCGCCCCTATATCCTAGGGTGCCTTGGTAGGTCTTTCATGCCTGAGAATCATCTAATATTTCTCCCAGACACCCAGAACAGGACACTTTATAGAATTGTTACCGTGGAAACATAGAGACAGTGACAGAAGGAGGCTGTGTCTCCTCTTTGTCTTCTGTCCCTTCTTCCTTCCACCTCCACATTCTTTTTTCTCTTCTCTCTTTTCTTCTTCTTACCCTATCTCTTCTTCTCCCCTTCCCTTTGCTCCTCACCCTAAAGAGTTCAAAATCAGAAGGAGCCCAGTAATGATTTCTAAAAATTCCTCCTCCCAGAACATAGGTACAGAGGATAACATGGTGGGTAGATCCAGTGTCTACAGAAAATTGAGCCAAGTTATCTTTGAGGAGTGTCCCATCAAACTAGAGTCACCAAGGCCTGGCAAGCTAGGCACCCCATTTTCTTCCCAGCCATAGCTCTTAATGTGACATCTGTCCCTTCTGAGTCCCCTCAGTCCCCCCAGGTGCTTGCTACAGAGCCCTCCACAGCTCCTGGAGGAGGACTCCCTGGGGGACACTAGTCACCCACTGAAAGTGCTATTAATGTGTCTGTGCATGGCATTCTGCGCATTAATGGGAACTGAAAATGACCTGGGGCTCATGTTTGACATTTCCAGGGACCCAGGGACATGTCAACCCTGCTTATATCTCTAGAATGTCCTTTTGAGTCAGCATCTACCATCTCTGTCTTGGCTAGTGTCACCCACAGGTGCCCCCAGGGACTGCTTCCCTCTAATGCTGGGCCTGTGAGTCAGCATCCACCAACTCCATCTTGGCTACAGTCACCCACAGGAGCCACTGGTGACTGCTTCCCTCTGACACTGGAATTATGCATTCTCTGAGTCCTGTATACAAAGATACTGAACCTTTTCATCAGTTAAAAAAAATGGTATCATTTTTAATTTAATGTGTTTGTGTATGTGTTTGAAATATGCATCCACGTGTGTGTATGTGCTTATGAATGAATATGGAGACAACTGGAAAACTTTGGGTGTCCTGCTGTCTGTCTGTCTGATCCCCCTTGAGACAGAATCTCTCACTGAACGTGGATCTAAGCTTGTGGCTGACAAGACCCAGTAGTCCATCCCTGCCTCTCACAGTTTTGAGGTCATTAGTATGTATGACCATGAGTGATTTCTTTTGTGGGTTCTGGGGGTCTGAACTCAGGTCTTCATGTTTGCACAACAAGCATTCTTAGCCCCTGACCCATCTCCTCAGCCCACAAGTCATATTGAGACAGCTTTATTCTGTATGAGGCTGGTTGTTGAATAATGAAATATAAAGATGAGGCAGACGTGTTCTCCATGCTCGTGGGACTTAGTGAACAGAGAGTGATCAGTGCTCTGACTGAGAGCACACAACATGCCATCAGGTCCCTTGAGGGAAAGTGGGGGATGGGAATGTTTTCTAAGATGTCAAAGTACTTGGGTTAGAGCACAAAGCGCAAGGGAGACCCATAAGATCCCTTCAGGAAAGAATCCAGAAGAGGGCACAGCAAGAGCCAGGAAGAAGGATAAAGTATGGTGCTGAGCTGAGGTCCTGGGACAGATGCTGTGCCACATGCAATAGGAAAGCAGATAGTGAGATGCTGCATTGGACACTCAGGAGCTTGGTGCGGAGCTCACTCA